CATCTGTTTGTGTCATCTTTGATTTTCTTTTATCATCGTCTTATAGTTTTCAAAGTACTGGTGTTTTTTCTCATTAGGTAGGTTTATTTTTAGATATTTTATTCTTTTTGATATGATGGTAAAAGGCATTGATTCTTTACTTTGTTTTTCTGATCTTTCATTGTTAGTGTATAGAGGTACAAAAATTTCTGTGTATTCTTTTTTTATCCAGCAACTTTACTGAATTCATTGATGAGCTCTAGTAGTTTTCTGTTATTTATCTGTTGGATATTCTATCTGTAGTAGCATGTCATCTGCAAACAGTGACAGTTTTACTTCATCTTTTCCAATTTATATTCCCTTTATTTCTTTTGCTTCTTAGAATGCCATGGCTAGGATTTCCAAAGCTATGTTGAATAAAAGGGGTGAAAGTGGACATCCTTGTCTTGTTCCTGATCTTAGAGGAAATGCTTTCAGCTTTTCACTCTTCAGTATGATGTTGGCTGTAGGTTTGTCATAAATTGCTTTTATTATGTTGAGGTATGTTACCTCTGTAACCACTTTCTGGAGAATTGTTATCATAAATAGGTGTTGAATTTTGCCAAAACCTTTTCCTGCATCTATTGAGAAGATCATACATTTTTTATTCTTTAATTTGCCAATGTGAGGTATCACACTGTTTGATTTGTAAATATTGAAAAATTCTTACAACACTGATCATGGTATATGATCCTTTTACTGCATTATTGGATTCGGTTTGCTAGTATTTTGTTTGAGGATTTTTGTGCCTTTGTTCATGAGCGATATTGGCCTGAAATTTTCTTATTTGTGGTATCTTAGTGTCGTTTTGGTATCAGGGTTATGGTGGCCTCATAGAATTAGTTTGGGACTATTTCTTGTGCAGTTTTTTGGAATAGTTTGAGAAGGATAGATGTTAACTCTTCTCTAAATATTTGATAGAATTCTCCTGTGAAGTGGTCCTGGACTTTTTTGGAAGATTTTTTCATCATAATTTAAATTTCAGTACTTGTGATTGGTCTGTTCATATTTCCTGTTTCTTCCTGGCTCAGACTTGGGAGATTGTAACTTTCTAAGAATTTGTCTATTTCTTCTAGGTTGTCCATTTTATTGGCAGATAGTTGCTTGTATAATCAATTATGATCATTTGTAAAAGAGATCATTTATAAAAGATCATTTAATCTCTTTTGATACTTTGTATTTCTGTGTTCTGTTGTAACTTCTCCTTTTTCATTTCTAATTTTATTGATTTGAGCCCTCTTCCTTTTTTTCTTGATGAGTCTGACTAAAGGTTTATCAATTTTGTTTATCCTTTCAAAGAACCAGCTTTTAGTTTCATTGATATTTTCTATTGTTTTCTTCATTTGTATTTCATTTATTTCTGCTCTGATCTTTACAGTTTCTTTTTTTCTACTAACTTTGTGTTTTGTTTGTTCTTCTTTCTCTAGTTGCTTTAGGTATAAGGTTAGGTTGTTTATTTGTGAGTTTTCTTGTTTCCTGAGGTAACATTGTATTGCTATAAACCTCCCTGTTAGAACTGGTTTTGCTGAATCCCATAGATTTTGGATCGTTGTGCTTTCATTTTCATTTATCTCTAGGTATTTTTTGGTTTCCTCTTTGACTTCTTCAGTGATCCATTGATTGTTTAATAGCATATTGTTTAGCCTCCATGTGTTTGTGCTTTTTACAGTTTTTTTTCTTGTAATTGATTTCTAATCTCATAGCATTGTAGTCAGAAAAGATGCTTGATATGATTTCAGGTTTCATAAATTTACCAAGGCTCACTTTGTGATCTAGCATATTGTCAATCCTGGAGAATGCTTCATGTGCTCTTGAGAAAAAAGTGTATTCTGCTGCCTTTGGATGGAATGCTCTTTAAATATCAATTAAGTGTATCTAGTCTAATGTGTCATGTAAGGCTTGTGTTTCTTTATTGATCTGCTGTCTGGATGATCTGTTCATTGATGTAAGTGGGGTGATAAAGTCTCCCACTGTTGTTGAGTTAATGTCAGTTTTTCCTTTTATGGTTGCAAGTATTTGCCTTATATATTGGGGTGCTCCTGTGTTAGATGCATATATACTTACAGTTGTTATATCTTCCTGGAATGATCCCTTGATCATTATGTAGTGTTTTTTGTCTCCTTTAACAATCTTTATTTTAGTCTATTTTGTCTGATATGAGTATTGCTCCTCCAACTTTATTTTGATTTCCATTTTCATGGAATACCTTTTTCCATCCTCTTAGTTTCAATCTGTATATGTCCCTAGATCTGAAGTGGGTCTCTTGTAGGCAGCATACATATGGGTCTTGTTTTTGTATCCGTTCAGCCAGTCTGTGTTTCTTGACTGGAGCATTTAATCCATTAACATTTAAGGTAATCATTGATATATGTGTTCCTATTGCCATTTTCTTAATTGATTCGGATTTGTTTTTGTAGGTCTTTTTTTTTTTTTTTAACCATTCCTCTTTTGTTTTCTTCTCTTGTCATTTACTGAGTAACTTTATTGTTGTTTTTGGATTCCTTTTTCTTTTTTGTGAGTATATCTATTGTAGATTTTCATTTTGCAGTTACCTTGAGGATCTGATATAGCAGTCTGTATATAACAAGATTGTTTTATGTTGCTGGTCTTTTAATTTCAAATGCATTTCCAGTATCCGGCATTTGTGCTGTCCTCTTCTCACAATTGCTGGTTTTGATATCATATTTGTGTGCAGATGATTTCCTACCTTTACTTTATGTTTGCCTTTACTGGTGAGCTTTTTCATTCATAATTTTCTTGTTTCTATTAGTGGCCTTTTCTGCTTAGAGAATTTCCTTTAGCATTTGTTCAAAGGTATTCTGGTGTTGCTGAATTCTCTTAGCTTTTGCTTGTCTGTAATGCTTTTGATTTTTTTGCTGAAGCTGAAAGAGAGCCTTGCTGGATAGCGTATTTTTGTTTGTAGGTTCTTCTCTTTCATCGCTTTAAATATATAGTGCCAGTCCCCTCTGGCCTGCAGAGTTTCTGCTGAGAAACCAGCTGATAACCTTTTGGGCATTCCTTTGTATGTTAATTATTGCTTTTCCCTTGTTGCTTTTAACATTTTGTTCTTTGTATTTAATTTTTGTTAGTGTGATTATTGTGTGTCTCAGCATGCTCCTACTTGGCTTTATCTTGTCTGGGACTCTCTCCATCTCCTGGACTTGGGTTACTGTTTCCTTTCTCATGTTAGGGAAGTTTTCATGTATCATATCTTCAAATATTTTCTCAGGTCCTATCTCCCTGTCTTCTCCTTCTGGGACCCCTATAATAAGAATATTGCTGCATCTAATGTTACCCTAGAGGTCTCTGAGACTGTCGTCATTTTGTTTAATTTTTTTTTTTATTCTGTTCCCTGGCAGTGATTTCCACCATTCTGTCTTCCAGTTCACTTGTTTTTCTGCCTCATTTATTCTGCTGTTGATTCCTTCTAGTGTATTTTTCATTTCAGTTATTATATTATTCACCTCTGTTTGCTTTTTAGTTTTTCCAGGTCTTTAAAAAAAATTTCTTGTATTTTCTCACTCTGTGCCTTCACTGGTTTTCTGAGATCTTGGAGCATCTTCAGTATCATTTCTCTGAATTCTTTTTCCAGTAGATTGCCTGTCTCCCTTCACTTAGTTTTTCTTCTGGGGTTTTATCTTATTCCTTCATCTGTGACATATTCTTCTGTTGTCTCATCTTGTCTAACTTTCTGTGTTCGTGGTTCCCATTCTACAGGCTGTAGCACTGTAATTCTTCTTGCTTCTGCTGTCTGACCTCTGCTGGATGAGTTTATCTTAGAGGCTTGTATACACCTCCTACTAGGAGTGACTTTTTCCTACCTGATGGTGGGTAGAGCTGGGTCTTGTCCATCTGCTGTGCTGGGTCATGCTCAGGAAGACTTTAAGCAGCCTGTCTTCTGATGGGTGGGGCTGTGTTTCCGCCCAGCTGGTTGTTTGGCCTGAGGTGTCCCAGCACTGGATCATACAGGCATTTGGATGGGGTTATGTCTGCGGGGGTGGGGGGGATGACATGGCAGCCTCCATGGGGGCTCACACTAATGAGTACTGGCCAGAGCTGCCCCTGCCGGCGTCTCTGTCCCCTCAGTGTGCCACAGCCATCCCCTGCCTTCGCAGGAGACCCTTCAATACTAACAGGTAAGTCTGACCCAGTCTCTATGAGCTCGCTGTTTTGTTACCTGGGTCCCATTGCACATGAGACCCTGTCTGTGCCCTTTAAGAGTGGAGTTTCTGTTTTCCCCAGTACTGTGGAATTCCTCTGATCAAACCCCTCTGGCCTTCAAAGCCAGATTCTCTGGGGGCTCCTCCTCCTGTTGCCAGATCTGCAGGCTGGGAAGCCTGACATGCGGCTAAGGACTTTCACTCCTGTGGGAGAACTTTGGTGGTATAATTATTTTCCAGCTTGTGGGTTGCCCACCCGGCAGTTATGGGATTTGATTTTATCACAGTTACACACCTCCTACCATCTCTTTGTGGCATCTTTTTTGTCTTTTTTGGTAGGTTTCAGCAGTGTTTTTGTCAATGGTTGTTCAGTTACTTGTGATTTTGGTGTTTCTATAACAAGGGTTGAGCCTATGTCCTTCTACTCTGCCATCTTGCAGGCAAGCCAGGATCTTTAAATTGAAGAAACATTCATTAAATATGACATCTGCTCCATACGTGATGGGCATTCTCATACAATGCCTGTTTGAATATTGGTGCTTTGTCATCTTTTAATATTGTTTAGAGGAAAACTATATTTGAAGTTTCCTTTTGTAATTATTTTAAAAAAGTAAATAAGCTTTAGATATTTTTCTTCAACTTTTCCATGAAAAGATTATGGTCACTTTACATTATAGTGGATAATGAAAGTCCATGAGGCTTAAGATAATCCGTAATATTATGTGAAAACTAGAATCATTTTTATGCTCTTTTGGCTATTAAACAAAAGGTTTCAAGACTCTTCTCAATAATTACAATTGTTATCTCTAAATCTTTCCACAGAATGAAGATCAGGAAGAAGTGATCCTTGTCAGAACAGATCATTCTGGAAGAGTCTGGCCTGTGAACACACCACGAAAACATCTGGAATCTAAAGGAGGAAGAAGGAAGAGACTGATTGTATGTTTAACATATGTCTTTTGTTTATTAATTCCTAATTCACTTTTTCCCTTTGTATCAGACTACAGTTGACCCTTTAACAACATGGGTTTGAACTGCAAAGGTCTACTTATACACAGAATGTTTTCAATAAATTACATACTATAGTACTGCACAGTCTGTGGTGGTTTGAATCTGTGAATATGGAACTATAGATATCGAGGGCCGACTCTAAAGTTATAGTCAGATTTTCAACACCATGGGGGTCACTGCCCCTAACCTTCGTTGTTCAAGGGTCAACTTTATTTCAAAATATTTTCTGAAATGTTGCTTAATAATGCAAACATTAGAAGGTAGTAAATCATGTTCTTTCTTTTATTTTAGTTATGATCCTCTGCCTTTTACAAAATGAATTCTAATTCAACAACAGTTTTCAAATAATTGTGAACATTGAATTTTTAAGGCAGTTTTAACTTTAGTGTATATTTCTTTGACATTGTTTCTAGCTTCTTTTTACATACTTATCATAACTCTTAGGGAAAACCTTGGTGCTATAGACCTGTGTTAAATCCTTTGTAAACCTTAATTTTCTTTTCCATCTTCTAGCTGCAGCAGTTAATTTTTAGCACTACCTTGAGGCTCTTAAAATGGAAAAAACAACATATTCAGTTTTCCCAAGTTAGATTTTTTGTTTTAAATTTGAAAGATCTTATAAGTGGTAATTGGGTCCACAGAAGATTTGTTCATTTAGAATTCTTCTATCAAATGTTTATTATCTGCCTGTTGAGTGCCTGTGCTGCTAGAGCTCGTAATTGATTTGTTCAGCAAATAGAAATGGGATGGATACCTCTCCTAAAGAAATGGGACGTATTAGGGGTTTGAAAGGGAGATGTGGGAGAAGAATAGTAAAGGTTTGAATTGTATGAAATGACAGAACTGGCTAGGGATTCATAGATGCATTGCCAGATGGCATTGAATACTCTTTTGAATTGCTTACTACTGAGTAGTCTAGGTATAGGAGTAAAGAGGATAGACACATTCATTCAGGATTGAGGTTTGTTTTCTGAGTGTAGTGAAAGGATAAGAGGAACAGAAAGGGGTTTGGATCCAGAGAGTGATTGAAGTCTTGGAATGTGAGATTTAAGCTTGTGAAGACAGGAGTAGTAATGTGGGGAAAAAATATTGGGAACGTGGTTCTAAAGAAGTTGAAGACCGGGTTTTATTTGGATAAGGGAATGTGAGAACAGTGTTGAAGAGATTTGATTTGGTTGGTAGACAGTACATAGCACTTTTCTTTTCCACGTGTAGGTATGGAATCAACTGACAGGAAAACCCAGAATTGATTTAGATGAGAATCAGAATATCAGCTTTTTTTCTGATAGAGCTGTTTAAAGTAGGTTTGCTAATACTTCACTTTTGTTCTTGATATGCTTACTTGATCTCTGGGTAACTAATGACTTCCCTTCACAGTGATGGGGAATTTTTACTACAAGGAGGGGAAGAGCATAGAGGAGAGAAGAAGGCATAAAACAATTCTGTCCTTTCCTTAAAACTCAGAAATCAGATACTGTCATGCTTCCATCCTTGGGGAAGAGGAAAAAGTAAAGGCACGGAAGAGGTAGAGAGTGTTATTCTAATGGAAATTTTTCCACATGGAATCAGACAGAATAGGGATATACTGGAAAGAAAGATTATGATACAAAGAGGGATTTTTAGTATCAGATTTATAGATAATTCATTAAAATACTTCAGAGACTTATGTTTTCACTAAACTAATAATGTTCATTTTGTCATAGGTTTCAACCTATGAGGAAAAAGAAAGGGTCAGATACTTTCATGATGATGATACTCTAAGCCTAAGTGACTTAGTCAAGAACGAAAAGATGGGAACAGCAGAAAATCAAAACAAACATTTTATGAAAATGACATCTAAGGTAAGATATATTCCTAGGATACCTTTGAATTTTGGTAAGCTGGTTACTCAGTCTACAATGATTTACTTTTCAGACACAGCTAGTTCTTTATAATCATGATTTGTTTTATTAAATTAAATCCTTTGTAAGACATATTGGAAATGTGCATTTTAGAATTGATTTGATTGGGGAGTATACTTTTGGTATTCAGGTTTTTTTTAAATAAGAATTCTGGGTTAACTTTTTAATGTATTCCATGAAAATGTTAACTATATATTTGATCTACCATTTAAGGGAATGTTTGGGGCCAGACTTTAATGTCGACAGTGTGCTGCTAGTTAGGTGACCAGTCTGTTTTATCTTGATGTTACACTAGTTCTTCATAATTATGCCACAAGGTATATATAATTTGGAGTAATATATATCATAAAGAAGGCATCTTGGAAAAATCTTAAGTCTGTTTATATGAAAATTTTGTATGTTTTTAAATGTATATCAATGTTTCATGGGTAGTAGGATGAATTTTTTTATTTCAAAATAGCATTCTTTGTTGCAAACCCTTCCATTGCAGTCCCTTCAAACATTACCATTAACACTTATAATGAAAGAGACATATGTAAAGTTAGGGTTTGACCCCACTGGAAAGATTCAGCTCACTGCCTATATTTACAAATAAAGTTTTATTGGAATACAACTATGCACCTTTGTTTACCTGTAGTCTAAGGCTGTTTTTGCTTTATTACAACTGAGCTGAATAGCTGAGACAGAGACTGTACAGCCCACAGAACTGAAAATATTTACTGTCTGGCACTTGACAGAACAAATTACCCTTCCTTGCTTACGATGGGAATTTGAACCTAGGGATCTGAAGGACAGGAGGGAGCCTTTTTACTGTATACTTTATTAGACTTTTTCTTTTAACTATGTGAATATATTACCTGGTGAAAAAATTAACTTAATGAAAACTAGAATACAGGTAACCAAGGTATCAAGTGTGTGTATGTGTATATCACAGAGAGTAAAACAAACTTGGGTTAAACAGAAATGATTAAAAAATTGTATGGGATCTTAACTTTAGCCCATTAGGATAATTTTACTTTTTATTTGGGGGGAATACTAGAAATATTCTAGGGTCTGGAAATTCACTGCAGAAAGAAGAACATATTTTTATGAAAATTTCCTTCTCAGAAATGGGGCAGTGGGACCTAATGAAACTTAAAAGCTTTTGCACAGCAAAGGAAACCATAAACAAGACCAAAAGACAACCCTCAGAATGGGAGAAAATATTTGCAAATGAAGCAGCTGACAAAGGATTAATCTCCAAAATTTACAAGCAGCTCACGCAGCTCAATATCAAAAAAACAAACAACCCAGTGCAAAACTGGGCAGAATACCTAAATAGACATTTCTCCAAAGAATACATACAGATTGCCAACAAACACACGAAAGGATGCTCAACATCACTAATCATTAGAGAAATGCAAATCAAAACTACAATGAGGTATCACGTCACACCGGTTAGAATGGCCATCATCAAAAAATTTAGAAACAATAAATGCAGGAGAAGGTGTGGAGAAAAGGAAACCCTCTTGCACTGTTGGTGGGAATGTAAATTGATACAGCCACTATGGAGAACAGTATGGAGGTTCCTTAAAAAACTAAAAATAGACCTACTGTATAACCCAGCAATCCCACTACTGGGCATATACCCTGAGAAAAGCATAATTCAAAAAGAGTCACGTACCACAATGTTCACTGCAGCTCTATTTACAATAGGCAGGACATGGAAGCAACCTAAGTGTACATCAACAGATGAATGGATAAAGAAGATGTGGCACATACATACAATGGAATGTTACTCAGCCATAAAAAGAAATGAAATTGAGTTATTTGTAGTGAGGTGGATGGATCTAGAGACTGTCTTACAGAGTGAAGTAAGTCAGAAAGAGAAAAACAAATACCGTATGCTAATACATATATATGGAATCTAAAAAATATATATATTTCTGAAGAAAAACAGGGGCAGGATAGGAATAAAGATGCAGATGTAGAGAATGGACTTGAGGACACGTGGAGGAGGAAGTGTAAGCTGTGACAAAGTGAGAGAGTGGCATGGACATATATACACTACCAAACGTAAAATAGATAGCTAATGGGAAGCAGCCGCATAGAACAGGGAGATCAGCTCGGTGGTTTGTGACCACCTAGAGGGGTGGGATAGGGAGGGTGGAAGGGAGACGCAAGAGGGAGGGGATATGGGGATATATGTATACGTATAGCTGACTCACTTTGTTATACAGCAGAAACTAACACACCATGTAAAGCAATTATACTCCAATAAAGATATTGAAAAAAAAAATGAAACGGGAAAGATCATTTTATTTGGAAGTCTGAATTAAATATAGTTTTAATAATTTTATCATAATCCATTCATGTTTATCCATAAGATTTAAAAACCTCATTAAAAACTTATTTTTTAAATTAATATAAAAATAAATAATTTATCAATTAAAAAGTTGTTTATTGGGCACCTAATTTATGCTGGATACCATTTAAGGTGCTGGGTGTAGCAAAGTAGTAAAGTTCGCCCTCTTGAGGAGCTTATATTTCTAGTGGATGAGACAGAAAGTGAACAAATACATGATATAAAAATTACATAACACTAATATATCACAAAATAAAAAATATTTTTGTAGGGAGTAAAACAAACTAGAAGAAGATAAGATGTTATTTTCAATAGAATGCTGAAGGAGGGCCTTTCTCTGGAGATGATGTTTCAGCAACCTTCTGAACAAAGTGAGGGAGTGATCTGTGAATATCTGGGAGAAGACTGTTCATGCAGAAGAAACAACAAATGCAGAGGATCTGAAGAAGAGACAAACTTGACAAGCATTAAAAGACAGCAAGATCACACGTGACTGTGAATAGAGGGAGAAATGGAAAGACATGTAGAAGATGAAATGGTCAGATCATGTTGGATCTTTCATGCCATGGTGTAGAGCTTTTATTTTTGTTTTAAATGATGAGAAACCATTTGAAAGTTTTTAGTAGGACAGTGTCATGACCTCATTTGTGTTTGGTAGTTGTCTCATAGCTCTTGTATATTCTCTTCTGTTTGTTGTTTTTTTATTTGTTTGTTTTTTGGTCTTTGTTCTCTTTGCTTTTCAGTTGTGGAAGTTTCTGTTGTCATATCCTCAAGCTCAGAGATTTTTTCCTCAGCCTTGTCCAGTCACTAATGAATCTATCAAAGGCATTTGTCATTTCTGTTATAGTGATTTTGATCTCTAGCATTTCGTTTTGGTTATTTCTTAGAATTTTCATCTCTCTGCTTACATTATCCATCTGTTCTTTGTGACCCTATGCCCCTGGACTGTGAATTTCACCAGTACTTCTCAGTTTTTTTTCCACTTAGTTGGGATAGAATGGCTAGAAGGGGATGGAGTTGGATGTTTCCCTTCCTTCAGGTAGGTTAGGCTCTGACAAAACCCCAGCAGGTAAAACTCTGGCACAATAGTTTCTATGAAGGGGCAGGCCTTGTTAAGTAAAACAGAATGCCCTGGTATATTTCAAAATGTTTCCTTTTACCTTCCCCCTGTTGAAAGTCATAGGGGATTTTTTTCCTGATCTTTAGTCTGAGTACCTGGTAGAGCTCCAAGAGGTAAAATTCACAAAAGTTTGAGGGCCCCCCCATGACTGGATTCCCCTAGGAATTTTAACTCTTAAATTTGTCCACACTGAGCCTCCTGCAACTTATCAATTACAGTTTAGGTTTTCCTACCCTGGCACTGGTTCTCACAGAACCACTGGTTTCTGCGCATATAAATTATGATTCTTTGTATCCACCCGACTGTCTCTCCATTTTTGGGGGCAGTCACTTTCATGATGGATCTAAAAAGAGCTGTCAATTTTTCAGTTTGTTCAGCTTTGTACTTGTTGGTGTGATAGGGTGGTGACTTCTCAGCCTCTGAAATGCCAGTCTGGAAACTGCTGGTTTATGTTTTAAAAGACTTTTCTGGTGGCTCTTTTGAGAAGGTAATGTAGATAGGCAAGAGTGGAAGCAGGGAGAATATTTAGGAGGGTATTTAATTAATTCAGATAGTGCCTTGGGTTAGGGTGGTAAACTGGTGAGAAATATTAAGATTTGGGGCAATGCTGGTGCCATTTATTGAAGTAGAAAAACTTTGCAGTGGGACAATTTTTCAGGAGGTGGGAGATGAAGAATGCTGTTTATGGACATGTGAAGTATGCCCATTAGCCATTCACGTGGTAGTGTGGAGTGACTGCCCATGGATCTCTGGGTATATGTTGGTTCTCCCATATAGACTTAGATGCTGTTAACATTTAAATGTACTTAAAGCCATGGGAGTTAAGAAGTGATTAATGAGGAGAGTCTGAAGACTGAACTGAGCACTGTCTGAAAGAAGACAAAATAGATTCAACAAATGAGATTGAGAAAGTACAGCCAGCGAGGAAAAGCCAGAAGGAAAACTTAGGGTGTAGTGTTTCAGAAACCAGAGAAGACAAGAAGGAGGTTGTGAATAACTGTGTCAGCTGTTTCTGAGAGATAGAGTAAGATCTTCAAAGATGGAAAAGTGACCATTGATTTGGCATTGGGGAGGTTTCTGGTGACTTTTTTTTTTTTTTGGCCGTGCCATGCAGCTTGTGGGATCTGTTCCCCAACCAGGGATTGAACCTGGTCCCCAGCAGTGAAAGCCCCAAGTCCTAACCACTGGACTGCCAAGGGAATTCCCCTGGTGACTTTCATAAGTGTGATTTCCTTGGTCTTCTAAGGAGAAAAGCCTGATTATAATGTGTTCAAGAGTGAATGTGAGAATAGTTAGTGGAGAGATATCTTTAGAAAGGAGCTGGTTACTGTCCATCAGTAGGAGAGGCACAGATACAGGTAGGTCTGTAAATGTGGTAGTAGAAAAATGACCTAGTTTTCCTCTTATTGCCTCTGTTAGTTTAGTGAAAGGACTCAGGTATCAGCTGAGATTGATGATGAAGAAGGGGTATTAGAG